TTCCTCAGAAAACCTGGAAACGAGCACTATTAGAGTACAAAAGGTGACAAAGAGAGTGGAAGAGAAGTCTCTTATCATAAACACCACTCTATATTGTTTCTCTACAGTGTGAGATGACTGTATATTAGTTCTTCTTCCTTTCCAAACTTTCTTGCCATTGATAAAAAGGGTGTTGCTTGACTTTTTGATCATTAGTAGTCAAGTTTTTATTTGAAAAGAAGTAATAACAAGAAGGAAGGGGTATAATAATGACTCTTGAAGTTTTCTTCAAGTTGGTTTAAAGAAAGTGATAAGATTATATTAACAACGAAGTATAAAACTTCTTGCGAATATCTTTTTTGTGTGTGATCAGAGGATCAGCAGAAAGAGTTTTGTGTAAAAAATTGATGATTGAATTTTATTATATTATATATAGTATAATAATTTTATCTTAATTTTATTATTATCAATTATTATTAAAAAATAATAATTCTATCATAATTCTATTTTTTAAATTTTTTAAAATTTAATTTATTAAATACATATTTAAATCTAGTAATATTATATATAGGAGCTTTTTTATAAAATTAATAAAAATAATTTAATACAAAAAATAGAATAGCTATTATATTATAATTCAATAGAAAAATAGATTCAAAAGTAAAGAAATGAATTTTAAAGATATAAAATATAATTTTTTAATATATAAGAAAAAGAATTTAGAACACAAAATATTTTATATATAATAAAAAAAAATCTATCAGAATTAAATCTATATAAAAAATAATAAAAAAAAATTAAAAACAAAGATTAATAAATAAAGTTATGATGACATAAAATTATTAAGCTTTGACCTTTATAAAAACACTAATAACATATAAAAAGTAATATTAATAGTTGGAAAAAATTTTCCTTGACTATTAACAAAGCAATATATTACTTTCAAAGTTGTATTTAGAGTAGATAAGAATGAGTTAAAGAATTAGCTTTAGCAATACCTATTGTTATATGTAAAGTTTATAAAAGTTTAATAAAACACATATAACAAACTTGAGAAAAGACATAAATAAATAAATAAAATAAAATAGACTGACTATTTGAACTGGATATGAATTATACATTATATAAAAAAAGAAATAAAGAAAGGAATAGATTTTTATTATATCAAGGCAAAGATAATTGATTGCTCATGAATAAAAAAAACATAGTTTCAAAAATATAGAACAAATCACAAGTGAAAACAACTTATTAAGGTTTAGAGACTTATCAGACTTGATGGATTATATTCGGAGTTCTCAGGATTAAATCAACACAATAATATAGCAGGGTTATACAAAACAAAGCTGACTAAGATCAAATAATAATATAAAGGACCATATCAAATTCATTTCACATATCCAACAACACTTAAAGAAAACTTTTACTATGCTAAATAGTAGTTGAAACAAATTAATCAAACTGTCTTCGATAATTATACCGATAGTTCTCTAAAAAGAATTTAATGGTGAATACCATCTAGAATATGGCTGGATCATAATCACCTACAATAACAAAAAGATCATAAATTTTAAGATAAATAGCGAACAATCCATCATTCATCAGAGTTTAAATAATGGATCTAGCATTCGCTTTTGTGGAACTTTGATGTTTGATGAATATCAAGGCTAAGGTGAGAAAACGGTTTGAATGAACTTCTTCGTTGACATCAAACATTAGATGATTGATATACAGTATCAGTGAAATTTTCTGTGGGTTTTGGAAGATGACTTTGGTTACATGGTATAATCGTGTCAAACGACAATTTATTTTTATTGTTATTTTTTTTTTTCAATATTCCTATCTATGCAGAATAAATTACAAATTGGAACTTTTTTTTTTCCATAATGATTGCGACCAAGATTCTATAAAATAATTTTAATTACAAATAGAATCCATCCAATATTTGGGTTTAAGATTTTGCGTCGTTCATCTCGGATTTATTCTCCTTAATTTGGGGTTCCTTAAACCTCTTCAACAAAAGGCTGCTCATCAACACACTTAAACTGCTCCCGACCATCAACAATCCTGCCAAAGCCGGTGGCAATCCTACCCTGAATATAGGAAAGAAAACCCCTGCGGCAATGGGTATGGAACAAATATTATAGAGAAATGCCCAAATGAAATTTGCTCGAATTCTTTTTATGATCGCTCTGCTCAGTATAATCATTGTTATCAAGGAGTGTAAGGTGGATCGAGTTAAAATTATGGAAGAGGATTCAATAGCTATATCGCTAGCATTCGAGATTGAGATCCCAAGGTCAGCTTGAACAAGTGCCGGGGAATCATTTATACCGTCGCCAATCATCGCCACCACCGAACGGTTGGAATGATCACTAGATCCATTAGAAGAGTTTGCGAATATCTTTGATTTCGTGTTGGGATACTTTGAGGTCGGGCGGAGGTGATAATTTTTCTGCAACCATTTTATTTTACGGGCCTTCTTCTCTGGCGTCACTTCGGCGAACACATGTTTAATTCCCACTTTAGAAGAGATGACTTTTGCGGTGACTGAATGATCACCTGTAATCATCCAAACATCGATTCCCATTGATGTGAGTGCCGACACAGTTTTCGCGGCATCGGGTCTTGGGGTATCGGATATACCAAAACTTGCTGCTATCACGCATTTTTTTTCGCTTGCATCATCGGCAATAGATAATCCGATCATAACTATGGTGCATCCGGATTTTCTCCAAGACTTTATAGCCTCGGTTTCCTTTTCGTGTGATAGATGTGGAGGGTACACAAAGTTTTCTTCGCAAATCCAACTCTCCTTTCCCACATACACATTATAGTTAACACTCTCATCTTGAGATTTAATTTCGGCATTCTCATCTTCGATTAGATTTCTGCAAAGTGGAGATTTCACGGTGACCACGGCCTTTAAACCTTTGCCGGGGATCTCTGTGATATCCACCAGACTAACATTCTTAAAGTATTCCGCCAAATTTTGCTGTTTAGCTTCCTTTTCATTTTCGTCTTCACCGCCCAATCCCGATATGGCATGCCGTGAAACTGCCTTGGCCAACGGATGGTCGCTTGATGATTCCACAATACCAACGATCTGTAACAGCAGGTTAGTCCGACCTTCCAACAGGCTACTCTTCGCACCTCCGCCTACGAACAAATTTGATTTGACGACTTTGGGTTTTCCGTAGGTGATTGTCCCGGTTTTATCAAAAGCGATGATGTTAATCCTGCTTGCCATCTGCAGGGCCTCACCACCACCTTTAACCAGTATGCCAAATTTTGCCGCCACACCTGTGCCAACCATTATAGCAGTAGGAGAAGCCAATCCAAGAGCACATGGGCACGCGATCACCATCACGGAAATCGCAAAGAACAATGCAAATGTCAAGTAATTTTCGCCGGAAGGTATCCAATCCTTGGGATATGATTCGGCTGCGCCAGCTGTAGCCCAGGCGACAAAAACTATAATCGATATGGTGATCACGGATGGCACGAATACCTGAGAGATTTTGTCAGCCAGCTCTTCGATGGGCGCCTTCTTGCTAGATTGAGCCTCTTGAACGAGAGTGATTATACGGGAGAGGGTGGTGTCGGATCCGACACGGATGGCCTCGATAAGAATGGTGGAGGATTGGTTTACGGTGGCGCATATAACCTCATCATTTACCGATTTATTAACGGGAATTGATTCACCAGTAATCATCGATTCGTCGATTGCGGTGGTACCTTTCGTGATTTTTCCTATTGTGACACGTGATCATGTTTGGTCGGTTTTTTTTTTTTTTTTTTTTTAATGCTTTTCAAAGTAACAAGGATAAAGTCGAGAGACATACCATCACAAGGGATTCTTGCTCCCGCATTGACCTTAAGGATATCTCCGACTGAAAACGTATAAATACGTAATGGTTATCAAGAAATGATCGAATCGGTTGTGTGATTATTACAAATAAAAAAAGATCAACACACCTTGAACAAGATTCATGTCAATCTCACGTTCCTCAACAACATTTTCACTTGAATCGATTTTTACCAAGATGGCTTTCTCCGGTTGCAATTCCATCAACTTTGTAATGGTTTCAAAGGTCTTCCCTTTTGCCTTCGCCTCCATCCACCTGCCCAACCAGATGAAGGTGATCAAGAACACACTGGTCTCAAAGAATTCTTGCATTTGCATGTTGGAATTAATAATCCCAATGAGCACACTAATGACAGAGCCAAAATAGGCAACCGAAGTACCCAAGGCAACCAAAGTATCCATATTTGCCGCCCGAGCGTACTTAATTGAACGATAGGATTTCACGTAAAATGGGTAACCCGCGTAAAACTGAACCGGTGTCGCAAGCAAAAACATCAACAGCGTGCCAACGTCAAGACCGGGAAATATCTGAACACCAAAAGATTTTTGATTAACCGTCGAATTTTCGAAGAAAGTCATGAACAGCATTCCAATGAAAAAAGTTGGTGTCGCAAATGCCAAGGAGATCAAGAATCGCTTGCGAAGAAGTCGTTCATGTTTCTCGGTACGTTCACGAATGGACTTTGATGCGTTGAGCGGGTCACTATTGTTCGACGAGAAATTGGGATTCAACTGAGCGGTAAACCCGGCGTTCGAGATAGACTCGATGAGGGTGCGTGGACCGGTCATTTTGGAAACATGAGTAATTGCACCATCACCGGTTAACAGATTTATCTGACAGCTTTTCACGCCTGGCAGAGATTCCACTATACGCTGTATCGAACCTACGCACGAAGCACACGTCATTCCTCCGATGATGAGATGTGTAGTGACGCAATTAAATTCGGCTTCTTCTCCTCCCTTAACCCCATCATCTTTCTCGCCCTCGTGTGATTCTTCACGTGACCCATGCGCGTTTGTATCTTCGGTTTTTATTTCGTCGAGATCAAATCCGACGTTGCGCACTGCAGTCCCTATTGATTCTATATCTAGCAAAGATTTCTCCATCTGCAAAGAACATTTTCCCATTAACAAGTTCACATTGATGGAACCAGGTTTGACGCCTTTGAGTTTCTCAATGCTTTGCTCTGTCGATCGCACGCATGCTGCGCAGCTAAGACCAATTATGTTGAACGAGATTTTAACGTAGTGGGGTTGAGATGAAGGATTTGTTACGAGAACCACTTTGAGATCGTCTCCGTCTTCATTATTGACGGGGGCAACTGTCTTTAAATCGGCGGCGGTTGACATTTCGTGATTAAAATTACTTTGTGAACAAGTCCAGCTATGTTGCGTCGTTTTTCACGAAATGAGGCGCGATGCGCTTGTATATTTTGTTGTGTGATGAACGAAAAAACGATGTTATTAGTGATGAAATGAAAATTAAATGTCGCTATTATGAGTGAGAGTTTTAAAACGAAAATAACATTAACCGGACCGCCTGGGTCCTAAACTAAAGAAAATTCACAATTTAACTCATGTAAAGGGAGAATTCAGCAAAAATTAGAATGCTCATCTTCTCAAATAAAAAGACTGGAGAGCTACTAGTAAATACAGAAACTCGAATATGCGAATGTGCGCGTTCGTTAATTTATATAGTCGACTGCTTCGAATGTCGGATGGTTTAACGGTTCCCATGCGCATGGTTAACCATATTTGTTTCCATTTAATTGAACCCTCAAATGTGCAATAGATCAGAAACCTGAGAAGATCCGATTCATTTTGCGCTATTAATTTTATAGGCCACCAGAAATTACAAATCCGCACAGGGATTATCGATAAATAAGTACAGTATATGGTGCCGATCGTTCATTAACAGCAAAAACCCCTCATTCAGTTTCGTGCCCATCATGCAAACAACCCCAAATTTATGAAATCTATTTATTATATCTATCACCTTTGAAGCCAACGCAGTTGGTAGGACCCTCCGATAAGAAAAATTTCAATGAAACTTACATTTTTGTCTGGAAAGAATAGCCAAGCTTTCGTATACATACTGTATATACTGTATATTATAAAGAAAAAGAAAAAACTGCCTCGGGATATGCGATGATGGTTCCGCGTAAAAATCGAAGAAAGTTGTTAAATAGGAATCTCAATGAATGTCCATTTCATTATCGCGAATTTCCGTGTGAACAACGCATACATATCATTAGATTTAACATGGTCAAGATAGATGAATGTCTGACATACCACGTGAATTAAACGCAATAAGTAATCATCAGTCGAAGAACGTTATCAGAAAACAACGTCAGGTCATCGATTGACGAATAAAGAAAATCAAGTCTGACATCCTTTTCATATTGTCATATTGGTTCATGCGTTTCTCGATTCTCCCATGTTTGGTGGTGCGTACATTGATCGCTAATTGATACTTCATAAATGCACGTGCGCCTTTCAGTGACAATTATTCACGTTGCGTTCAAACGGTTGGAGATTTCAACGAGACAAATTTCAGCATGCCCTTAATTATGTCCACGTGTTTGATCTTTCCAAAGTATTTCTCCCGAGGATATCGTATCGTATTTAACGCCACGGTTTCCTGAAAAGACAAAATAATAATAATAATAATAATAATGATGATGATGATGATGATGATAAGATGGCTAGAAATTTAATGCGATACGTGTGTCCATCTTTTATTCTTACTTCACTTTGAATATCACGAAAACCAGATTGTTATTTTCTGAGAGCGAGAGTCTTTTTATGAAAATATTTCGCTTTGTTGTGACCACACTTTCAATAGATTGCGTCATTCCCTAAATTTAATAAAGCGGGGTAGGAAATTCGCGAATCAACTATCTACAGTATATTTTTCTCTATCCATTTCATACTGCGTCTTTATTCAATTCTGTAGATTAGCGCGTTTACCAATATGGTCATAATCTTCGCAAGTTGTTACCATTATTGTCGATGTGTTTGTTGTTGCCTTTTTTGTTATTTCCTCCCAAGCAAAGAACTTACGTAATACCAATATATTGGAATCACGATGATCGAAAAGCGAAACGCAATTTTTGCTTACCCCCCGGTGACCGCGTCGATCAGACTTTTTGGATGGTGCAACGAATACGTAGTCGATCAATTATGTAACATTTCATTTAGATTATGCTTTTCTAATACAATACCCTCAATACTTGGCTTGGAGATGTCGCAATCCAAAGCACTTTGAATTCCCCGTAAATATTTTTCCGATGAACGGTAATTATCTGACGAGGAAGAGGCTGATCCATCTCAGATGTAAATACGTAAACCACGAAGACACGACTAGTCGAAATTTAAATTTCCGAAACCTTTTTCGGTTCTATTTTGTTGCCTGAAATGTATGATCGCATAAAACTCTTTACGCACACTAATAATCAGTGCAAAGTTATCTCCAGGCTTGGCATTAATTTTTTTTTATAATTACAGTTATACATTGCATTAATATCGACGGAGCAATGATGAGGTTAATTAAACCACGAAATAAACGCACACTAATAAAATAAATGCAGGGATAATAATGTCAGTGCAAAGTTATCTCCAGGCTTGGCATTAATTTTTTTTTATAATTACAGCTATGCATTGCATTAATATCGATGGAGCAATGATGAGGTTAATTAAACCACGAAATAAAATTGGCGAATACGTAAATAGTAAATGTATACCAATCAAGTCAATTATATTAATAGTATTATAATATGATGCGGGATCTGAAAACAACTTCCTACATCCAATAAACGACAAACAAGTCAAAGAAGAAGGAATTGTTAAAAGAAACTTTGTACTAGACAAAAACTACTACCGTAAAAAAAAAGATGATTTTTTTTTTTTTTAATTATTCTTGCAAATCAAGTTTCATTTATTGTAAGTATGCTGTATAATAAAATTTTAAAATCAAATAGGGCAATGCATGATTATAGAATTCGTAATTTTATAACCATAAAATTAAAATATCTATCTTAAAACAAGGATCTATTTTATTATACAAAAATTTTTATATTTCACGTGTCAATATAAAAAATTGTTTTTTATTTTTAATATCATAATATGTGTGCTTCTTGATTAATGATAGATCATTTAAAAAATAGAGACATTTAAAAATTTAATTGCAAATTAAAGAATAATCTTTTCAATATAATATTCCCAATCATATATTATTATTGTCATTAATTCAATTAAATTACAAAAAATCCAATGCTAAAATTTTTATTATAAAAATTTATCATTTTTAATTTTCAAAATTGAATTACCAACTATAATTATACTAATAATTGTGTACTTATAAATAGAATAAATATGAATGTATAAAATATATGATTAAAAAAATTTTTTTAAAAACGTAAAATTTTTAAAAATTATAAAAAAAAAAAAAAAAAAAAAAAAATATTTTTAATTATAAAAGGCTTTTCAAATAGATTGGAATTAATAAGAAAATCAAGACACTGTATTTAATTCGTAATACGTAATAAATTTGTTGATTAGAGATAAATTCAAATCATTATTTTTAAACATATTATTTCATATATTGAATTTCTTCGATTATGTACTGTATATATAAATTTTATGCAACAACAACAAATTAAATCAACAAGCAATTAAATTTTATGTAGTATAATTAATTTATATGACTTAATCTAAAATTCACAACTATGTAACACAAGATATTAAAAATCAGATGATTAAAATAAACAAAATGAAAAATATACAGCATATACAGTACGTATCCAATGAAAAAAGGAAAATTATTTACATAATTTTTCCATCACTTGTCCTGCAAATTCAGTTCAAAGCTGGTCACATAACTTCTACCGGTCTTGAGATTTTTCGCATTAGCACGGATTTCCATTTGCCCGAAAGTCAAAGAGAAGTAAATCTTTCTATTGTAACCTAATTCAGGATCAGGCAGATCAAACGATAAACTGCCTAAAAATTTCATTCCGGGTTCATCAACGTACTCGGCATCTTGAGCAGTGGTGATATAGACAGCACACCTTACACTAGTCTGCCTTTCAGATGAGGGAGGGAAGATGTCGGAAAATTCTTGATCGACATTAACTTGCGTTCCTCTTTCGGCCAACCGATGAAACTTAAAAATTCTTCCATCCTCTTTTCTTCTTTCCACGGGATCTTTAAGCTCATTGAATCTTGCGTTAACCATTACACCATACGTATACTTCAATACTCTACTCCGAACAACACCAATGTTCAATCCATATTCTAGTCCGCCTCTAACCACGGCACTTATCGGTTCCACAGGCACACAGATATTCAATACTTTAGAGGAAAATTCCTCTTTGATTCTTGACTGTAAATATTCTGATTCACTAAATCCGCCTACCAAGAAAATCGATGAAACAAATTCATCGCCCTTGGTTATCTGGTCATCGATTAATTTTAAGATCTTCTCAACCACTGGATCAAACATCTCTTTCACATCTTTGAAGCCAATGGTGATAATCCATTCATCATATTCCAATATGGTTCTCTCCAAGCCATGGACATACTGTTTCAGAACGGGACAGACCTCTTCAATATCTAATTCATATTCTTTAAAATCTTCGGGATTACCGGTGAACGGGATCTTAACGCGTTTGCAAAATTCTTGTATGAGATATTGAAATTGACCGTAATTGTTTCGTTCGAAAAGTCGAATCGCGGTTTCCCCAATTTTCCTCCCAAGAAATTTGACGAATTCTTTATCCACGTAAGAACTTCCACAGAAGCCGCCCGTACTTTCACTGATTTCATCTAGTTTAAAGTTGTCAAGCAATTTGCGCTTGGTCAAGTCAACAGTTCCACCCCCGATATCGACAGTCAGAAATTGAGCTGTTAGGTGTTCAACCATGCATGTAAGTTTTCTTTTCACTCGTGGAGTTTAATAAAAGATTTTTTTTTTTTTAACACATACATCCTACTGAGTTGGTGAGTCGTTCCTTGAAAAATTTTATGCAACAAACCGAAGCTGCTTCCGCTAAACAAGTAAATGAAAAGAGTGTAAATGTTAATTGACTTTAAAAACTAGAAGACGATCAAGTAACATACGTTCGGTAGTAAACTCAAATCTTTCCGTATTTAGTTCGGCATTGACAATGCACTCTTTCATAATTGCTTTTGCTTTGCTATCAAATTCCGCGGGTACGGTAAGTACCAGTAGAACATTTTTATAAAAATCAATTCCCGGCCATCTTGACAGAATAGTTTGTTTAACGAACTAAAAAAATTTTCATTAGATATGAAGAAAACAATTTACGTTTATAATTAAGAAATTGATTATACTGTACATACATCACCTTTATGCATGCATCATAAAAAATAAAATGAAAAGATAAAGTGAGCTAGAAAAGATTAAATTAAACTCGACGTCAACAAAGACGCATACCCATCTCCCTTAAATAATCCGTGATAGGTCTTTTGTAATCCATCCCTTCCGGTAATGTGGGCTTCTCACCCTTTGCTAAATCTCCCAGGTGCAGTTTAAATAATTCTACGGGTTTGGGAACCGTCATCGGTGCATTTGACGCGGTAATATTATTTGAAGTATCATTGTCATCACTTGTTGAGATTGATCTACTGACACTGTGACGACTTTTATTAGGTAGCTTCGCCAGCGCAGGATATCCCCATGCCACAACCTTGTGAAAGAATGTGTCATATTGAAGCGCCGTATTGGTTTTGTATTCCCCATACTTGCCAGGCCAAACATCGTTCGTGCAGATTTCGGGATTAGATACATTGGCATAGGCGAACCCCTGTTTTCATATTAATAAATTCGGAGAGAATAGGTTTGCGGATTAGCAACTCGTAAGAAAACATCATCGATTTTCTTTGATATAACATGCACGTACCGAATATGTTGTTCCGAAATCTAGCAATAAACGAATACGTAATTATGTTAAACAAGTGCCTTACGATTAAAAAGATTATACCCAAGAAATATCGTTACCGATGCAAGCTACTACGCGAACATCTGCTGTCGATGTCATATTGGCATTCGAGTGTGAAGGTGGAACTTGGAAGCTTACCCTAATGCAACAAGTGTAATAGATATTTATATTGTGATACATGTAGTAAAATGTTTACAGAATTACTGACCGGAGCATGTTTTCCGGTTCATTGTTTATAACACTATGGAAACCTTTTTTCCAACACGTAGTATGCATATACAGTATATTGCGTATACGTGCATGTTCAAAAATGCATTACGCACATTAATCAAACGAAGTTCGCTTTATAAGCAACGGTCGATATTCTTCAAAAATCACACAGGTCACGTAATGGTTGTTGCATTATTTGTATCCAATGCGAATTTAAAGTTCGAAATTAATAAATATTTTCGACTTTGAACTAAGGCTGCTTACTATAAATGATAATAAAAAGTGGGTTTTTATGTGAATACATTTATTATTTTAGTGCACACACGGAATAAATTAAAACCTTCGGACTTTTTAAGACCTATTCCGATTGAAAAAGAAAGCATCCCAGATATAGTTTTTTTTTTCAATCCGTTTTCATTACGTAATACGTAGAGGAAACAGTGTTACTGCATCTTAAGCATACGTAATACCAATTTTTAGCATAACGGCAGTCTGTTACATGCACAGTGTAAGGGTTCCGACGTAAAATATCTTTGTTTTCGGAATTCCCGAGTCACCAAATATGACTTTCTCCCGTACATCATTGAGTGTCACAATCGAATCATTAATTTTTAGAATACGAATTCCGAAAAATTTTATTTCGAGTTTTAGAAAGACCACGTTTTACGATTTCTTTTCTTTTCTTTTTCCTTTCTTAAAAATATTATTCGATCGAACTTTTGTTTTAAATAATTATTAATTTAAAATTTGTAAAGTAATTAAATATTGGCGTATCTAATAAAAATTTTATATATCATAAAAATACAATTTGAGGTTTAACATAAAAATTACGATTCATAATTCTTAAGTTTTGCTAGAAATTTTTTTTAAAAATTTTTTTGTCTTTTACTATTATTATTATTTCATTATTATCAAGCTTATTCTTGTATCAATCGATCTATTATTTTATTGATAAAATTAATAATCTTTTTATTTTAATAAGAACAAGACTCAATAATTTAAACAATGAAAATTATTATCAAAAAAGTTTTTATCAAAAGAGTTATAAATAGTCAAATAAGAATTAAATAATCATAGTATATACTGTATATTATTCAAACTAAAATTTTTTTACCTTTTATTGTCATAATTTAACTAAAATAAGAAAAAAGTTGTCATTTAAAATTTTGTCTGATTGAGATAATAAATTCTTTAAATTAATATACTAAAAATTTTTTGACAAGTATACTTAATAAATAATATAATAAAAAAGTCAAATTATAATAAATAAGTTTTTTTTATAATTAATAAAATATATATATAGTATATATTTATTAAAATAATTTTTTATTAAAAAGAAAATTTGAAAATTACAATTTTATAAGACAAAGCATAAAAAATTTTTATATTTATTTTCTTATAATATATTTAATATTTTTTTATCGGATTTTTTTTTTTTGTAATTTTTAATTGTTTAACAATAATAAAACAAAATTTACAATTTTTTATTAATATTATTTTAAATAATAAGAAAATTAATATAAATAAATATTTATTATACTTTTTTTTTTAAAAAAAAAAATATTAGCTTATCATTATAGAAATAAAAAACTCTTTCTGCTGATCCTTTAACCACACACAAAAAAAATATTCACAAGAAGTTTTTTGTTTCTTTGCTAAAAAGTCTTTAACACTTTCCTTAAAACTCCTTGAAAAGTGACTTCAAGAGTTATCTCAACCCTCCTTTACTTGTTTACAATTCTCTTTGATCAAAAACTTGACTTCTGGTAATCAAGAACAAGTCAAGTAATATCTTTGATACCAATAGCAAAAAAGTTTTCAAAGGAAAAAGAATCAATAGTGAAGTATATAAAGTTATTCTC